TCCAACATGAATCTTAGGCCTTCTTTGCAGATTTTTTAAATCCTTTTTTGTGCTTGCTCTTCTATCTTAGTAGTGTTGAGAGATTTATCTTCTAGCTCACTTGTTCTGGCCTCTTCAGTTGTACTCCTTTGTCCTTTCAGTGTATTGTCCATTTCTGATATTCTATTTTTAATCGTTTGGACCTCTTTCTGTAGGTTTTGCATTTCTTCCAATGTTGTATCTATCTTATTTGATTGTTCCTGTAGCACTTTCCTGACTTCTTCTGTATTTTTCTCAACTCCATTGTATAGTGGTTTGATGCACTTTATAAACATTTTTCTGAATTCCTTCTCAGGCATTTCCAAGGCCTGCCCATCTTCCAGTATGGAGTATAGGTCTACTTCCAACTCATTTGCCTCAGTCACTTTATCTCGTTTCTGGACATGTGGTGATATGGTCATCTGTTTCTGTTTTTTTGGGCATATTCAGGAGTTATCTGTGGCCTTAATACTTAGATGGGTGTATATTTTTTATTTTTTATGCTTTCTGATTGCCTCCAGGTAGATGTGATCAGGAAATGGGCTTCCCTTTTCACTCTTCTTCCTGAGAAATTTCAAGATGCCACTGTTGGTCTTTGTGACATAACTCAGGATTTAATTTTCAGCCTATTTCCTTTTTAGTCTGCCTGTCTGGCTCCACTATCCCCGCTCAGGCCTTTTCCCTAGTAATAAACAGTTCAGGGCCGGCTGTGATCGTTTTGCACTACTGTTTGGTTTTAAGTGGAAACTGTCACTTTAAATTTTGATGAAATCTGTGCACATGCCTAGTAGAACGTTCCGGGGGTGGGGTGTCCACTCACTCAAGCACCTCCTCTAGTCACCAGAATGGAGGTGCACAGATAAGGAGAGACCAATGAACAGATTTTAAAAAAAGCATCCACACCTTTATCTCTGTGGTTCTTTCAGGTATCTGTGGCTGCTCTGATACTTTCCCAGCTTGGTTTCACCCAAGATGGCAGCTCCGGGAGTAGCTGAGCATCTTGGATTAGAAAGCACTGGATTTCTTGCCTCTGCTACAAATTCTCCTAGCTGTAAGGCTTCCAACCTTCTACCTATTCCTTTATATGTGGTTCAGAGTTCTGGCACCATCCCCTGAGCCTGCTTGGCCCGGTATTCTGTGTTGTTGCTGACGGAGCTCCTCACTGCACGTCTACCCAATTCGCCATCTTGTTTGTTCTTGGGGATTAACTTTTTAAGCAGTGTTGTTGTTGTTGTTAAGTGCCCTCAAGTTGGTTCCAAATCAGTGACCCTGTACAGGATTTCTAAGGAAAGGCTGGTGGGTGTGACCCGTGAACTTGTGGGCAGCAGTCCAGTGCTCATCCTACAGTGCCATTTCACCAGTACCACCATATAAGCTGCTGTTGTTGTTAAGTGCCATCAAGTCAGTTCTGACTCATGGTGACCCTGTATAGGGTTTCCAAGGAGCAGCTGGTGAGTCTGAACCGCTGACCTTGTGGTTCAAACCAACCTTGTGGTCTAGTGCATTATGCCCAGCACCACACAGCTGGCATTATATTACATAAACACAGTTAGAAGAAAATTAAAGCATTGATACAAATTTAGATAAGTCACATTTATCAAGAAAACTCTTTTTATACAATAATTTAAATTAAATCACATAAAGGACACGTAGCAAACACAAAATGCTTAACCCTAGACTTCCAAAGTGCTTGGCAGCTATTTTAGGATAATTAAAAAAGAAAATAAATATGCATCCTCAAGGTGACTCTCTGAACAAGAGCACACAGGTTTCTAAAAATAGTCATTAAATCTCTAAGGCCAAATTTTACACTTATTCTGGTTATTTTGTAACACTCCAATTATGTCTTACTGAAATAGTTCAGGATTTAAAAAAAACAAAAAAAAAAACAATAGAAAACAGAAAAAAAAAATTATTAGGAGAAAATAAAAAGGATTCGTTGATCATACAGATTAAAGATACTGTCAGAGTCTTAAAGAACCAATCAGTCATAACCTCTGTTGTTGTTGTTGTTAATAAAGTTCCTCAATTCAGTTCCGACTCATAATGACCCTATATAGGGTTTCTGAGGAGCAGCTGGTGGTTTGCAGTCCAGTGCTGAACTCAGAGAGTCACCCCACAAGTCCATCCTTTAGGAACCCTGGTGGCACAGTGGTTAAGCGTTCGGCTGTTAACCTCAAGGTTAGTGGTTCCAAACCCATCAGGCACTCCTTGAGAGAAAAGACTTAGTGATCTGCTCTTGTAAATATTTGTTGTGTTGTTATTATAGCAAAGTGTTGTGGAGTGGGTTCCAGCTCATAGTGACTCTGTATAGGGTTTCCAAGGAGTGGCTGGTGGGTTTGAATCACCAACCTTGTGGTTAGCAGTCCAGTGCTCATCCTGTAGCACCACACCAGGACTTGTAAAGATGACAGCCGAGGAAACCCTACGGGGCAATTCTACTGTGTCCCGGAGGATCGCTAGGAGTCAGACTGGGCTCTATGGCACACAACACAGTGGTCTTTAGAAAGTCCTCTCCACGAGGATGTGTCTGTGTCTAGAGGCATTTCTATCATTAAAGCTGCTACTTGTTAACATGGAAAAAAGGTCGAACTTATTCACCAAAGCAGGAACACGTGATAAAAAAATAAATACAAGCAAATCACCACAAAGAAATCGATTTCTTTTCCTGACACTTGCAGTTGGCATGACATTTTACCATTTCCTAGAGGTTGTCTCTGAAGCACTTCTAAATAAGCACATGTTGTTAAGTGCCACTGAGCCAGTTCTGATTCATGCTGACTCTCTAGGGTTTCCAGGGAGCAGCTGATGGATTTGAACTGCTGCTCTTGCGATTAGCAGTCCAGGGGTTGTCCTACAGCGACACAGCAGGATTACACAGTAGCAGTCTTAAATATGGCATGAATACCCTTCTTTACTCATACCTATTCCAGCACACCTAAGGAATAGCACACCTTCTAACACACATTTCAAACTTCTTGCCTTCTTGGAATTTAAAAACAAAAAAAGTTCATTATGAATTTGTACTCATATATTCTTTGTCTAGATATAATGCACAGCAAGAACAATACAAAAATAAAATCAGGTCAAATTTTATACATATGTGGGCTTCAGAAAGTTCACAGAGAAATTCCATTCTCTTTTTAAAATTCCATTTCCCACGAACGTTTTTAATTCCCCTCTTACATACAGGGTAGTGCTTTCCCTTAGATTTGCATAGCCTTTGCCTAGAATGCCTTCCTCATTGTTCATCCCTCCTCCCGAACTCCTCAGGCTTGTTGAAAAGTGACAAGGAAAACAAAATCCAGTACGTAATACAGAAAATATTTACTGAAGCTTTACTTTGTGCTGTTACGCCCAGAATTTGGGGTCCCCAAAGACCACCCAGGAGCCGTGTACCGATGCAAATACATAAGGGAAGTTTAATCAAGCTCGAGGCAGGTCTCTAACCTTATCCGACGCAGCGGAATAGGGAAAGAGCCCTGAATTCATTGTCTGCAGGGTTTTTATAGAATTTTCAAACAGCTCAGGTTTCTCAGCTTTACAATCTTTGGATTGGTTAACAATTGGCAAACTATGAGAGGTTACAGTTTAATTGGTCAGGACTGGTGGTCTTTGTTCTTAGGCTAGGGTAAAGGAAAACATCTGGCCTCTGGCCTTGAGCTGCCTGGCTATTTATACATATATCATTTTCTTGGAGCTAGGGGACGTGTTCCGGCTAATGTACAGAATGGAGATTGACCTTGTCTCTGGAGAGAACTAAAAACTGAGGCCTTGTCTATTTAAAATGCTTTCCTGAGCCTGACTAGAGTCTAGTCAAGCAGTCTCTAGGTAGGCAAAATCAGGTAAAATCAGTTAGGTCCTTACAGTGCCAGGCACTGACATGAATTAAAAGTACTTCACATGAATTTCTTCACTGTATCCTCAAAGCCACCGTAAGAGTTTTTCCTCATTTTAAGCAAGCCGAGGATTAGGCAGGGAGAGACTTGCTTGAGGTCTCAGAGCTAATTGCTGGAGAGCCTGAGACTACAATCTAGGCCTGATTCTAGGACTGTGCTGTTGACCTTAGACACAACCTCTTCCCAGAAGCACTCCTCAAAAATGAGTTGGCACTCCCGCTTCTAGGCTCTCAGAGTGATTGGAATTTACTGTCCTAGTAGCTTTAGTCCTACAATGAAACTGCTTGTCTACTATAAGCTTGAAGATGAAAACGATTGTTTTCTTTACTATTCTATCCACAGCCCAATGCCTTGTACATGGAGCTCAGGAAATACATGTAGAATCAATAAGGTGCCCCCCAAATAAAGCCTCTCAGAATGGCTTACCTTTGGAGGGAGACCTATCCGATGGAATTTTCTCCCTACTTTTGGCACTTTCTGCAAAGCATACTTCTTGCCTCTTGACTTTGCGCGGTCAATTGCACTGTAGTTAAATGTCTCACTGACCAGCCAGGCCACCTAGAAACATGCATGGTGGAAAAATGGTCTGAAGTTTTAGATGCACCAGAGGACACATGTTAGTGCTACAAATTAGCAAAGGTCAATTCTATACAACAGAACATTTTGAAGAAGTGTTCAAGTAAAAACGTATAAAGACCAAAAGAAACCTAACAGTCTTTTTATGCTCCAGCTCTCTGATGGGTCTCTCCTCTCTAGACACTAGGTCCTTCCCTTGTTTTCTTTAGCATCTCCCGGCCTCACATGGACAAGGCATAGTCTTTGCGGATACTTGTATATCAATTTAGTAGTGGCTCATGAATTTAGGTTTGTTGTTGATGTTATGTGCCATTGACTAGCTTCCAACTCATAGCAACCCTGTATAGGATTTTCAAAGAGGGACTGGTGAATTTGAACCACTGACTTTTCGGTTAGCAGTCCAGTGTTTATCTTACAATGCCACACCAGGACTCGACTTTTAGTTTGGTGATAGTGTGCTGTTGGCTCAGTTCTGATTCATAGCGACCCTAAATAGGGTTTCCGAGACAATATTTTAGGGGATCAGAAAGCTTCACCAGTCTCCTGTAGAGTGGCTAGTAGATTTGAACTCCTGACCTTAAGATTAAGAGCCTGATAATGTGTAACCAATAAGGTACCAGGACTACTTGACTTTTAGTTTATCGGAAAAAAAATAAACTCTACTTTGTTGTTGTTGCTGCTGTTAAGTGTCATCGAGTCGGTTCCAACCCACGGCAATCCTGTATAGGGTTTCCGAGGACTGGCTGGGGAGCTCGAACCACTGACCTTGAAGTTCAAACCGACCTTGCAGTCCAGCTCATTAACCCACAGAGCCACACCAGAACTCCAGGCTCTATCATTAGGAATTGCTAATGAACTGGTCACAGATAGATAATTAGGGAGTAAATTAAAATGGTGGTGGTGGTATGTGGTCGAGTCACTTCTGACTCACAGAGACTCTGTATCAGGTTTCCCAGGCTGTGAATCTTTATAGGAGCAGTAAGTAAGCCTCATCTTTCTCCCACGGGGTGCCTGGTGGACTCAAACTGCTGACCTTGCAGTTAGCAGCCCAATGCGTAATCTACTCTACAACCAGAGCTCCCAAATTTAAAGAACAAGAATAAAAATAAATTCTCCGTTTACCCTTGTTTTAGGAACAATTCCAAGATGAAGCTTTTCATCCACAAGGTAGGCTCCAGCTTCAGAAAGGTACCCCTGATTCGGGAGCAAGCAACCTCTCCCGAAGCAGCAAGGGCAGAAGACCTTATGAACATACTTGGTCCATTTGGGGTTTAATTGACCATAAGGCTCTTCAGATTTCGGTTTAAACACACCAACAGTTTTCTGTAGGGGAAAAGAGCAGAAATCTTAGCAGATTTTCACCATCTATATAAACATCCACAATATGTTTGCATTCTTAAACCTTTTAACTGCTTCCCACCACAGACTGGAGCCTAATTCCAAAATATTATAACATGTTCAGTTCCTAGCACAGTTTTACATGACTCCCGTTCAAAATTCTATAATCAATAATCCTTGGGGCCAGAGGCTTTCAAACTGTGTTCTGAAAAGCCCCAGGGGATAGGAGGGCAGGGTTCTAAGACCCCAGAGTCCTTCTCAACCAGATTAACTATGGTTTCCTCTGTTGTACAAGATTGGACTTCTAAGTAGGAAACAATTCCAGGGATTTAAAAATGTTTAAAAACCACAGCTCCAGGTCAAATAGTAGTATTATTTCCTATCTGTCAAATATTCAAATCATACCTTATTTCATTGTCTACCTTTCTCACTAGAGTGTACATCAATCCTAAAAGAACAAGGACCCTGTTAGAGCTGTACCCCCAAGTTCTCAGTAAAATTCCTGGTACACAGTAGGTATATGAGTATAGGGTAAATGAACTAATGAATCCAGTGACAAAACAATATCTCTAAAATACAAAGGTAATTACTGAGCCTTACCCGACAGAACTATATTATAAGTTAGGTATTATAATTCAGGCTTTCTACTGCCGTTAAGATTTGTTGTTGTTGTTGTTAAGTGCCGTCGAGTCGGTTCCGACCCATAGCGACCCTGTACAGGGTTTCCGAGGGTGTAAATCTTTACGGGAGTAGAAAGCCTCATCTTTCTCCCGCGGAGCAGCTGGTAGTTTCGAACCGCTGACCTTAAGGTTCGCAGCCCGATTCGTAACCACTACGCTACCAGAGCTCCCTCGGAAATCCTGTACAGGGTCGCTACGGATTGAAACCGACTCGACGGCACTTAACAACAACAACAACAACAACATAGTGCAATACAATCAGAGTCACTAGTAAAAAAGTCAGTAAGAATGAATTAAGAAACCCAACTTGGGAAAACAATCGGGAGACCTACATTTGTGGAAAAAATGCAATTAGAAGATAATGGGCTGTTTTCTATGAACTTTAAAAAAATCCTCTCACAGATATTTAGGTCTCAAAAAAGATCTAACTTCAAAAAACAAGATACAACTTCAATTTTGGCCAAAAAAAAAAAATTAATTGAGATTAGAATTGTTCTGGCCAATGAAAAAAGGACTGTTGATGATGCATCATGCAGAAAGCTTTGAAGACGACAGCATAGATGATTGAAAGATTCTAGACTCAGGGGAACAAAGTCCCTAGTCAGCCACTCCTTTCTGCTCTAGAAAGAGACTTTGGTTCATCTGACTTGGCCACATTCCAATGCTTCTAAACTTCAGTAGGTCAGGTCACCCTTCTCTGGGACAGTGCTAGGAAAAAAATGTCCTTGGGCAAGATTCTCCTCCAAAAAAAGATCAAGGATGATGGAAATAACATGAAAAAGGTTTCAAAAGGTTAGCCTTCCACTGTGGAGGGCTAATATGGTTATCATCTGTTGCATGGTAAGGATTGAGGAATACAAGCCCAATAAACCTTTACTTGACTGTGAGGATATGGCAAGTACTTTCAATCACATGGAAAATAATAGAATAGCAAACTATGCCTTAAAATAAACAGTTCTATTTCTAAATAGTGGAGGACTTTAGTAAAGACAAAACAAAAAAAACTGACCTTTTGAAAAGAAGGTGCAATCAGATCAGAAAAATATCTTCAGTAATCACAATGACTTCACATTTAACTAAGTGCTTTCCAAAATTTCTGTTATATATAGTAGGTCTGTGAAATTCTCACCCTCTTAGGATCCTTCACAAAGTAACTTCCGCTTGAACCTTGAATGATTCTTTCCGGGAAAACTCCACATTCTATTGCTTGCTCTGCTTTTGATACAATATCAGCAAATTCTGGATCATTGGAGAACGTATTCATCTCTGAAGTCACTCCACTTACTGCATTAAGAAAATCAATGTAACTATGAAAAATAAAGAAGAAGACCACCCAAGAGATTGTTTATAATGTGGAACTGCGAGATCTGATAAGCTCTAGGACATAAAGGTACAGAAATGTAATCAAGTATTGTACGGACTGCTTTCATCTGCCTACTTTTTTTCTTTCCTAACCATACCATTCATTTATGTTTCATGTAATGACACATAGAAAAAAACTTTCACTACTTGTTAAAATAATCACATGAATACCCCTCATTTCTTTGAACTCACTTCCAATGATTTTGTTTTTCATCCTACCTCAGCCTTCATCTCCACAACATATGCAGTTGTTGTTGTTAGGTACCATGGAACTGTCTCTGATTCGTAGCATCCTATGCACAACAGAATGAACCACTGCTTGGTCCTGCAAGATCCTAATAAATGTTGTGTTTGAACCAATTGTTGCAGCCACTGTGTCAATCTATCTGGTTGGGAGTCTTCCTCTTTTTTGCAGACCCTTCGACTTTACTAAGCATGATGCTCTTCTCCAGCAACTGGTCTCTCCTGGTATGTCCAAACTATGGGAGACAGACATCTGGGCTTATAAGGAACATTCTAGCTGTACTTCTTCCAAGACAGATTACCCACTCGTCTGCAGTTTGTTGCCCTGTAGTTGGCTTGCATGTTGCTGTGATGCTGGAAACTATGCTACTCATGTTATCTGTGGTGGACAGGTTTCTGTGGAGCTTCCAGACTAAAAACAGATGAGGAAGAAGGAATAGGCCGTCCATGTCCGAAGGATTAGCCACTTAAAACCTAATGAATAGCAGTGGAACACTGTCAGATATAGTGTCAGAAGATGAGCCCCTCAGGATGGAAGGCACTCAGAATATGACAGAGGAAGAGCCTCCTTCAAAGTAGATTTGACTATGATGATGTGTATGGAGAAAAACTTTCAGGATCTTCATTTGCTAATGGGGCAAAACTCAACATGAGAAGTGGCTGCAAACAATCTTAGGAGGGGGCTTCAAAAAGTCTATGGGAAAAGTGAATGTATGAAGGCCCCTTGTTTTTGAGATCTTGTCATTACCAATACCTGCCACCTCTACGTATTTTGGTTCTCACACATCTCTCATCTTCCCAATTCACTCCCTCGGGCACCGAGCAGTAAATTCTTCCATCCCACTCTTGTTTGTTGTTGTTAGGTGCTGTTGAGTCAGTTCCAGTTCAGAGAGACCCTATGTACAACAGGACAAAGCACTTCCTGGTCCTGCACCCACCTCCCAATTGTTACATATGAGCCCACTGTTGCTGCCACTGTGTCAATCCATGTTGTTGAGGGTCTTCCTCTTTTCTGTTGACTCTCCACTTTAACAAACATGATGTCCTTCTCTAGAGACTGCTCCCTATTGACAACATGTCCAAAGTAGGAGAGAGAGAAAGTCTCGCCACCTTCACTTCTAAGGAGCATTTTGGTGATCTACAAATCATCCATCTACCATATTATCTATCTATCTTCCTTCCTTCCTCCCTCCCTCCCTCCCTCCCTCCCTCCTTCCTTCCTTCGCCAGTTTCAGTTATGGTCAATCATCATATAAACACTATCTTCCTTCACCACCTGACAAAAATCCCAATTCTGAATTGCCTCAGACTCTGCCTACACCCAGGCAGCTGAACCTGGCTAGAGAACGGATACAAAGAGAACACTTGGTCTCACTTTAAATTCATCACCACAAACGTCAGGTGGACATGACTTCTGGGAATGACCCAGTCCACAGACTTCTGGACAGCTATGCCATATTCCTTTCTCTCAAATTCTCAACATATTTCCTCTTCCATTCACTCTCTCTCAGCATGTAATCTAGCTACCTATTTCTATAAGAAATCAGAAAAATAACTTTCACCATCTACACCTACCCACCACACCACTCTCATCTGTCAGCTTGTCGCACTGTGTTGGCTTGCATGTGGCTGACATGCTAGAAGCTATGCCACTGGTATTTTGAATATCAGCCAGGTCACTCGTGAGGGGGAGGGCAGATTTCATGAAGCTGAGCTTCTAAAGCAAGACAAACTCAGAAGAAGGAGAGGTACATTACCACTGAAAACCTTATGAAGAATAGTGACACACTGTGAGACAGCAACAGAATACTGACTATTGAAACCTGATGAACAGCACAGGTGTTCTGTCAAACAGAGTGCAGGAGGATGAGCCCGTCAGGTGGGAAGGCACTCACAACAGGACTGGGGAAGAGCTGCCACCTCACAGTCGAGTTAACTATGATAATGCAAATACAGTAAAACTTTTGGGATTTTTCATTTGCTCATGGGGCACAACTCAAAATGAGGAGAAGCAGCTGACCATTAACATCTACAACATGAAACATACTAACGATGAATCTAGAAAAATTGGAAGTTGTCAAAAATGAAATGGAACATATAAGCATCGATATCCTAGACATTATTGTTTTGTCAGGTGCCATCGAGTCAGAACCGACTCATAG